TGTTTGTTTAATTTAAGACAAAAAAAATTAAATGAATGAGAGGTAAAACTTGAGGGGGTAGGGACAAATAAGTAAATACTTCAGCCTACTCCTTTTCAAACAAATAATGGAACGATATTTTGTAATGATTGTGAAGGCACATGTTTGAAATGTTTGAAATAAAAATGAACTGAACTTATACAAACAGTTTGATTGATTATAAAAAACGCTATATCGGATTTATATCGTATCGGCTGATATCCAGATTTATGATATTGTATCGGACATAAAAAAGTGAAATCGTGCCATCTTTAGTCCTTATCTGCAGCTTGTATCTGCCCATAGCTCATTGCCACAGGTGAGGACAGGAATGCAGACAGACCAGCTTCCGTGCTCAGCTCTATGCACTGGTAAAGCCTCCAACTGTTGAACTGTCAGTAATGCCTTACTTAAAGTCTTCTAACTTTACTCCAACCAGGAATGAACAGTGTGGACCAAGAATCACTGATCCCTGCTCTTGAACGGGGGGACCACCACCCAATCTTCTGGTCCAGAGGCATCACCCACAACTTCCAGAAGTTACAGACGCATTTCAACCAGGAAATCCAGAGCCTTAAGGCCCTCAGGCAGAGTCTCATCCATCCCAGAGGCCTGGCCACAGGTGGAGGCGGGTGGTGTGAATGCCCAGGTTTGTGAATGTGATAACTCCAGAGCAAGCCAGCATAAGCTTTTTGTGATCTTGGACCTATTTGAATCTCTCTGACCTTGAACTCAAGGTCAAAGGGGAACTTTTCTGAAAATAACCTAGTATTTCCACAGGTACAGCTACTAGGAGGCAGCACTTCTACTTTCTTTAGATTTGATCTTGATTTAAAACTGTTCTTGCACCTTTGCCTGCGACCTTCTGTTTCTTAGTCCTTGTTTCGGTTGTGCAGACAGAGACCTTCATATTATTGTGTGTGTGTGTGTGTGTGTGTGTGTGTGTGTGTGTGTGTGTGTGTGTGTGTGTGTGTGTTACCTGAGGCAGAACCAGTTGCTGCTCTGAAGACGTCCTTTCCCAGGATGGTGTTTCCACTGGAGCTCTTCCCTACTCCAGTCTTCCCAACCAGAACCAGCCTCACTGAACACAGACACACATGTCAGCTCACTGTTTGATTCCCTAAACTGACTCTTTATCTCAGGTTCAGCGACAGCTGTGTGTGTTTATACAAACATCTGGACTTACAGCTCACAGGTTCGTCCTTACTGTTTCTCCTTGCCCCCACTATTCAGACACACAGATAAATGAAAGAGTTCTTACTGATGATCTGGTAAAAACTACATATTTGTTCTGTGACTTTTATATATCCTTTATTTATCTAGTAAAAAAATTAAAATTGCATTAAAAATGTGTTTTTGGGAGGAAACTGGGCAAGAGGACAGCAGAGAAATACAACAATAGTTTAAGTGACCAAAAAGGACCGGATTGGTTATAATGTAGGTACACTAATTATAAAGTTACTTGGTAGTTTTATGTATAACCGCTTTGTAAATCTTGTCCACTAACGTCTCTTTACCAATATAAAATAAAGACGTTACGCATTAAAACACACGGAAACACTGGAAATCAGTTTCTGGCACAACACTGGTCTAACAGGTTCTCCCTCAGCGAGAAACTCCGGATCCTGACGCTGTCGGTATCCGCAGGTAAAATAAAGCCCACCGACTCACCTGCCGGTCCACTCGCTGCCATCTGCGCTTGTTGCTGCTTCTGCCGGACAACTTCAGCTCCGAGTCCGGATCCTCAAACTCTGGAAAGAGCTCGCCTCTATCTAACCAGTGCAGGGAAACACCGACTGTGTTTAACACAGGTGCGAAATGCCCTACCGGAAACTCAGTTTGCTGTACCTGCCACACCTGCTGCTTCACTATCCAATCACAGTGAGATCTCGGAGTGGAGAATCTGCGCTGTAATAAACCGTTCAACCTAAAGGGGAGGAGCTTCACTGTGCAGAGGAAACGTCAGCTGACGACTTATTTAAAAGCATCACTCTCACTGATCGATCTGAATTTTCTCTCTTTCTCATTAACCTGCTTTCTATTTTCAAGTGAAATTACTATATCTGCTGGCGCCCTTACTCGTGGTGACGGGGTAACTTTGGTCGAGACGTTGAGGTACGTGACGTCATCACGGTGTTTGCTATGGGCTTTCCTACGGCGCCGGAAAGATGGAGGTCCGCTGTGTGTAAATGAAGATGAACCATATGAACTGCCTTGTCTATGTTCATGGCTGAAGGCTAAAGAGAGAGAGTCCCGTCCGTGCTCTCTTTCCTCCACACCCTCCACATGATCACTGATCAATGGCCCTGAGTAGCATTCTCAGAGAGTAGGGGGATGATCTCTGATCTGCTGCTTAGAAATTCATACTGGAGTGCAAAATTAAAACCAATGGAAGATGGACAAGAAAAGTTCAAAGCCATCAGGTACCAAAGATGCAGGTAAGCAGATGTGTGATTGGATAATGGCAGGTCATCCTGAAACAATCAGAGTCAGAATACTTTATTAATCCCTGAGGAAACTTTGCGGGTTATAGTTGTTCCAGGAAGAAATGGTAAAAACAGTAACAGACTAAACTCCAAATAATACAATATGCTACAGATTTTACACATTTAAGAAATAGCACTAACGTATGCAGATCACTCAGTTATAAATACCAAGGATTAGCAGAGGGGATTACAAATAAATAGCAAGAAAATTGACGAGAATATTCCAGAGTAGAAAAGAGCGTGTGTGAAAAGGCTGTAACTATTGCAGTGTTCCCAGTGTGTTAGATGCTGCGTGTTTATGTTTATCTGGTAATCTCCCTCTCCCACTGCTGCTGTGATAGCCAGCGTGTCATTGAGTGGGTGGGAGGTATTATCAGTAGCAGTTTACGGGCGACACGGGCGGTTGCCCGGGGCGGCATCGTGGTGGGGGGCGGCATCATGCTGCCACGACGTCAGCCAGCGCATACT